GGAGAACAGTACTCTACCTTTTTATGCTTTCTGACTTGTGAACCATATTAATGTAACACCAATTCAAAAGAACGTTTAAAATTTATTTCAAGTTGTACACTTAAAAACAACCACTAGATGGTGCTGCCACCATGACAAACTCAGTGTAAGCTTGGATGTCTGTTTATCACAACAACGATATCTAAATTTCTAACACTTTTCAAGGTAAAGGTGACAATCTGCAGTGGAAAAATCAGAATTTTAGAAATACTCGAAAGCATTCCACAGCCCCAAGTGACATGCATATTTGCTTACGTATTTTCTATCTTTAAATATAAACCTCCACATTTAACAATCTTGGCAGGTTACCTCAAATGCTATCTGTATAACAATGGGATATAAATCATAAATAATTTTTTTGATATTTTCTCAGCTATAATTTCTCTTTTCTGTCTCCTTGGGTCTATAAAATATGAAAATAAGGCAAATATTCTGTCTCTGTGCCTCAGACTGCAGACAGAGGCCCCGGGTGGATGGTATTAGTGCTGGGATTAGGAGTCAGCCCTCACATGCTAAGGGGCATCTTGGGGACAGCTGTGGGGGCAGTGATGAGGGACAGAGAGGGCCAGCTGTGCCCAGCAGCTCCACCATCACCTGACTTATCCACTGATGTACTGTGTAGGATTTAGCTTGCAAAAAAGATCCCATTACTAAGAACAAGCTAGCAAACCTCTGAGCTAAAGCATGCCCCCAACAAGAACCGAAGCAAAAGCTACTGGCTTTGCCCACCGCCTGGGGGTGGGGGGGTGAGCATGCAGCACAAGAGAGATGCCTCTCCAGGGAGCCTGGCACATGGCACCAGGGCCAAACCACACGGTGCTAAGCAAAAACAAAAATACTCAAGTCATATATAGCTAGTAGAATGGCTGAAATAAAAAGGCTGACCATACCAAGTGTTAATGAGGATGTCAAGCAACTGGATCTCTCATTCACTGGTGGTGGGAATGTAAAATGGTACAGCCGCTGTGGAAAAGTTTCACAGTTTGTTATGAAGATAAACATACACTTTTCATACAACCCTGTGATCCTACTCCTAGGTATAAAACCTAGAGATAGGAAACCCTTTGTCTACCAAAGAAAACCAAAAAACCTGTACATAAATATTTATAGCAGCTTTATTTATAGCAGCTTTATTTGTGGACATTTGGAAAAATCCAAATGTCCCTCAACTGAGCAATGGATAAACTGTGGCATATACATACCATGGGATACTCCTCAGCAATAAAAAGGAATGAACAACTGACACATTCAACAATTTGGATGGATCTCAAGGGCATTGTGTTAAGTAGGGCAGAAGCCCATCTCAAAAAAGTTACTGTATGATTCCAATTTTATAATATTCTCAAAATGACAAAATTATGGGAATGAAGAACATTTCAGTGGCTGGAAGGGCTGTGGGGAGAGTCTGACTCTGAAGGGGAAATACAGAGAGTTGCTTTACGATATTTTGTGCCCTGATCATGGTAGTGGTCACACAAAACTAGACCTGGAATAAAATTTCATAGAATTACACACACACACACACACACACACACACAAACAGATGCCCTCCAAAAGATCTGAACAGACATTTCACAAAAGAGGATATATAAATGTCCAATAAGCAAGCAAGAAAGTGCTCAACATCATCAGGCATCATGGAAATACAAATTAAAGGCATAATGAGATAACAGTACTCCTCCACCAGAACAGCCAAAATAATTTTTTTTAATGACAACACCAAATGTTAGCAAGGGCAATTAGAGCTGCCATACCTTGTTGAGAAAATTTTAAACGGCACAACCACTTTGGGAAATGATCCGGCAGATTTCATAACACTAAACATACACCTATCCTGTGACCCAACAATTACATTCTGAGGTATTTACCCTAGAGAAATTAAATCA